TATTTTGTTTTTGGTGTATTTTGTTTTGTTTTTAGTGCATTTTGTTTTGTTTTTCGTGTATTTTGTTTGGAAGTCGGTTTTGTTTTTTTTGCTAAAAGAAGATTTCACATTATTTTTTGTTGACAAATCACTGAATTACTAAATGCCTAGGCATCTATTCAAATGGTTTGTTCTTGACCAATATTCTAAGACATGCAAAAAATGTAATTAACTATCTACGTTGTAATTGCAAAGGTTTTTTTAATAGCTTTATTGTTATGGTGTACAAAGAAGACTAGTTTTCGTAAAATGTACTTAGTTTGAGTTTATTTTGTTTTGCCGATTTTACATATGGATAATGGTTATGACGCGCGTGGCTTAAAATAACATGAAAACTGGACCCTCTTTCACGTACAGTATGAAATAACTGTAATTTATTCCTTGATCATATAAAAGAAATAGATTCCGTAAGCACACTTCCAACGAATGACGTCATACGAATACGTCATAAAATATGATAGCCCTTTGAACTTATTTCTTAACTGTGTACTTTCTCTTTTGAATATTCTTAGTAATTTTTATTGTCAGCCTAGTGTGTCTTATTTTAATTTATGTTTTTTTTCAGCTTGTGGCGTCAGCGGCTTTCATTGCTATAGTTGTGCCGCGAGCAACGCTGGTAGCGGAGGCTATAGCGCAAGAGGTGGTAATGGTGGCATTGTACCACTTCTTCTGCCTCATCATTGCTGAGTGCGGCGGACCTAGCCAGTTCATCAGGTAAAATGTTACCGTGAGATTGCGAATTTCCACTACTAGTTATCTGTCTAGATGTCATTTAAATTATGATTATAGTTTAACTGCTACTTTAATCGTGTATCTACTAATTTTAATAGTAAACATCATTGGATAATAGTAAAGTCGAATCGAATAAAAAATATGTAACAGTTTTTTGCGGTGATTACAGTTTCAATGAAAAAACGGCAGATTTCTTCGTATAGCCATAACTTTAGAATACAATTTTTTATAACTTAATTTAAAAAAAAAATCCTTAGATGCTAGAATGAATGTTGACCTTGCTATTCTATAGAGATCACTTAAATTATGTAGCAATAGATTTAATCAACCGTTACATTCTTTCCTCATTCTTCGTTCTTAATCAGAACTCCAAGTTTTTTTTATTGATCTGCAAAAAAGAAGTTGAACATTAATAGCTCCTGTGCAATGCAATTTCGACTAGTCACTTTCTTTCTTTACTTTGTATTTAAAAGTCATGTAGTTTTTGTTTATTTTTTTTATATTTTAAACCCGGGTGTACTAAAATAAATTGTAACGTTAAGATACTTAACAACGCTAATTCTAACTTAAATTTAAAAGTTAAAAAAAAACTAAAACCTTGTTTCGGTGGTTTGTGTACGTTAAAAAAAATGAGTATATGGCAATCCTAATTAACATTTCATGCTCTAAAAATTCGTTGAAATATTAGTAAGGAACGTACTGATAGCAAACAATAATTTTATAACGAAAAAAAGGCGAAATTGCTTTTAATCGACTGGTGAAAAAGTTAAATCCATTCATTGTTAGCGTAGCTTTCTCTTGTATGTAAGGTTCAAAAACAAATCGCATGTTTTTTAATGAGAATATAAGGGGTGGGAATATGTTTCTGTACGTGTTTGGTAATGGGAACTCAAGATTGTAATTGCATTACAGACGCTCAGGTGACTCTCCCTTGGAGACCCGGGTACTGCCGTGTTGCTGCTGGCCGTGCTGCTTCATACCGAGACCGAAGATTGATAAGTACGATATATAACTTCTTATTTATATTATTAATGCGTTTAGATGACGAAAGTTTGTAACCTAAACTTTTGAACGGATCCCGATGAAAGGCATAGATTTAGAGGATATTCTGAAAGAACACATTACTTTCTTTTATTATTTTTTAATTCCACACGGACGGAGTAGCGGGCGAAAGCTAGTTTCTATATAAGTACGTTTACTTAAGACATATAAAACTTTGAAAATTGTACCGGTTTCTGTGAACTGATGGTACATTTTTGCTTGAACTTGTGAACCCTAAATTCTATTGACAGATATACAACCCGCTTGGTGTCAGTTACATCTCAAGGGGTTCATCTAATACCCAAAGAGGTCTTGGTAGTTCAGAAGTTCCACTATACTTAAGGAGTTTGTTCGGTTTATCACTAAAAGTACCAATTGAATTGACTAGTGTTACCAATTGATTCGTGGGTTTAACGCTAAGGAATTTTTTGCATTTATGATAAAAGATTGTTCGTAACACTTCTATCTATATTTAGAGTTACGAATTTGTAAAATTGCAATATTTTCAAGGCACGGATTTCGGTGGTAAACATCCCCTTATAAACATTTATCAAGCTAAGTGCTTAATTCGACTTCATTCTTGTTGCTTTACAATTTTTCCGACGACCGACGACATTTTAATTGCGACATGTTATTTTTTTACTGTTATTAATGCTTCATAACAGCGTTGTCATTCGTCTCACTCAATATTGTATGCTTTCTATTTTATTAAACTTTACTGCGAACCGCGAAATAACTATAATTACTCTATCATCAAAAAATATGTGAATTTGGAGATAAGAGAGTACAAAACAAAAGTGTAGGTTTACCTCTATAAATACACTGTAATCAAAATTAATTATAATTTTATTTCAATACTGACTTACAACTGAGAAGGGATGAATTGCATGTTACAAGGAGAAAGTTAGTTATGAGTGTAGAGGTACACCGGTAGAGGTAGACCTAAAAAGCGATGGATGGATTGCGTGAAAGGTGACATGATTAAAAATGGAGTGATGGCTGTGATGACGTATGAGTTATGTGGAGGACAAAAACCTCTTTCGCAGACCCTACGGAAGTAGGATAAGGAGGAAGATGATGATAACTGACTTACAACTTAGTTGAGTTAGGGGAGTTTTCACGAACACTAGAAATATATTGTCCTCCTTGTTATTAGGAGAATACAGACAGTTACGTTACTGTACAATTATTGCCAGTGAAAGTAGATATTAAGGAACTGCTATGTTGTTTTCAGGAGGAGTTTGACTTGGCTGCGTTGCTTGGTGCTGCAAATACCAATTGTGCAGGCGGTACTGTACGTCATCATACTTGTGTTATGGGCTGAGGATATGGTATGTAGAATGTTATTAACTACAAAAGTTTTACATAGTGATTTAATTACTGGTACATTTACCTAGGATTTCAACATTACTCGTATTTGAAAGTGAAATCAATGAATTATTTATTTTTCACTTTTGGGAAGGAAACCCTTTCTTCACATATCACTGTTTACACCCATAAACAGTGATATGTGAAAACATGTATTTTGTAGTCGCCTTACCGTAAAGCTGGACCTGATTATTTGATATTGCTTTCCTAAACACAACTTGTATTGTGGATTTTGTATATTACTAGCAGTCGCCCGCGACTCCGTCCGCGCGATAAATAATCCAAAGTGAGTAGCCTATGTGTTCTTCCAGACTATCCTCTACATCTGTAGCAAATTTCATTTAAATTCATTCAGCCGTTTTGGCTACACACTTTAACAAACATCCATCCATCAATCTAAATTTTCGCATTTATAATCTATGATTTTTAGTGTTTTTTTGGAAGTAAACAAGTGAGCAGCGATTTGAATTTACCCAAAATGCGAAGTGAGCGCTATCCATAGACAATTGGATTGTGTTGTGTTCAATTTAAGTTGTAAACCATTTTATATTGTTATCTTTCAGATGATTTACCGTCACGGGTTGGTTTTCATCCAGTTTTTCGTGGCCGCGTCTATACTGTCGGGTATCTGGGGCGTGATAATGTGCGTTCGCGCCGCAAGCGGTATCGGCGTGATGCTGCGGCCGAAGTTCGTGGCGCTGCAGCTGGTGCTCATCATAGTGAAGCTGCAGTGCAGTTTGGCCAAACTGGTGTCTGATGTTGCGACGTTACCCTGCGTTATGTCGCTACATCCAGCTGTTTTGGTCAATGGTAAGAATGTTCAAAACTGTTCCTTTGATTAGAAATGTGTCTTTTGTTTTCATTTATTAGTTTTTAAGACGTAGAGAAGTTTGGTTCTAGTGTACCGCGCATGTTTTAAGATCATAATGAACTAGCTGTCGCCCGCGACTCTGTCTGCGTTGAATTAAAACAAATCACTTTATTAGTAATTAACGTTGGAAGGTACCAGGATATTAAACTGTAATTGAATATTTTTCTTATTTTTTCTTCGATGATCATAATCATACTAATCATACTAATATTATAAATGCGAAAGTTTAGATGGATGGATGTTTGTTAGAGTTTGTAGCCTAAACGGCTGAACGGATTTTAATGAAATTTTGATAGATATAGAGGATATTCCTAAAGAACACTTTTGTTTTTTTTTAAATTCCATGCGGACGGAGAAGCGGACGAAAGCTAGTAAACCAATAAGTGAAGCAGTTAAGTTATAAGGTTATATAAAAGATGATGTTTTATATTACAGCGACACAATACACCATAACGATATTCGAAATGTTACTTCTATCGATTTGGGCGTGGCGTCTGTATGGAGGGGCAGAAACTAAGTCTCTTAATAAAGTTCAAAAGGTCGTAGTCGCTGTTCTGGAGGAAGGCTCAGGAGTTCGTGACGTCAAACAAATAAAAGGAGGCGTAGATAATAAATCTTTTAGTATCACAGATAATAAATGCGAGGAAAAAGTGTAAAATAATATGATAAATTATGTTAATATCCAACTATTGTATTGGTGTTTTACGTAGAATATTGATGTTTTTTAAGGCTTTGTACCAATTGAGTACCAGTGACTGCATATTTTTGTAACCCCTGGGTAAGTGTTGCGAGTTAAGAAAAGTGATTGTATTCCTAGCTTTTATTTTACAGCGGCTGTTAAAAAGCATTAGTTGAAAGTAATTTGTATTCGCTTTGTGTAGTATTCAGTGAACTATTGATAGGTAGTAAAAACTAGTAACTTTGTGACTATTGTTTGTGTAATTGGAAAAAGATACTAAATAGATTTAGATTTTATCTAGATACGTCAAACGTAAATGTACCTGACTTTATTTTTATGTGTTGTGTAAATTTTTTGTATCGAAATAAAATAATTAAATCATGCATTTGTTAATTCATTTAAATGCTCATTTTGTTTATTGTAATTTGATTTTAGTCATAGAAGCGTTTTAGTTCAAAATAATTAATTTAACACGTGTGTCGACACAACGCAGCATTTTTGTTGTAATGTTGTGTCTTGTTCTCACAGATGCAATAAAAGAAGGTAAACATGACAAAGACAATTTTTATATTCTAATAATTAAGTACTGAACAAAAAAATATAATTTAACATCAATAATTCGCGACCAATCATTTAAATAACATATATAAATTCACAGCACGCGTTAATTCGATTATTTTTCGTTTTCTTTCTCATAGCTGCTGCCCTGGGAATCATCTTCGTTATCTTCTGAAGGTGTCCCAGCACGTGATGTTTCAGAACCGTATATATTGTGTAGTTCTTGTAACTTGTAGTTGATTTTAACACCTTTTGTAGCTGTTTTATTGACTCTTTTGACCAAAGATTTTGTTTGTTCTTCCAACCTTTTTAGTCGTTCGTCTCGAGCCGCGAACATTGCCTCGTGATTTACTTCAGAAATCGATGCTTCTTGTTTGTTCTCTAAACTATCTGTGGAACTTTCTCGACTCGCTGATCCACTCGCTTGAATATTTAACGTGTTGTTAGATTCTTTATGGAGTGTTTCTAATTTTTCTGAAATTGATTCACCTGTTTGAAGCGTATTTGTCATACTCTTGATTACATCGGAACATCCGTTTTCTAAATTTTGGAGTCTTTGATCTTTTATAGCGAGACGTTCATCCTGTCTTTTTATATTTTCTAATATTGTCTTAAAATCAATACATGGTTCTGTAGACGGTGGACTTTCTCTGTTATCACATAAGGGTGGATTTGCTGTTGTAACGATTTCTTGTACGCCACTTTGATAATCTGATTCCGTTTGACTTAATAAGTTGGTCTGATTTTCTCCAGAAATATTACGGACGTGTTCAATTGATGAAGGCTCATTTGTTAAATGATTTACTGGATTCTTTACTTGATGATCGACATTAGTCGTTATTTCAGTCAGTTTGGGAAGCAAAGTTTTTTCTTCGTGCATCTCTAACCTTTCATTTTGTTGTATATCATTTGACTTTTGGCTTTCAGTTGATATATTCAATTCCCTTGTAGTGTTTTCTTTATCGGGAATACCGCCATTTTGGGAGTCACCGTTACAACACTGACTGTTTTCACCATGTTCGGCCAAATAAGTTTCTTCTATATAAGAATCATTAGCAATGTCTCCTACTTCGTCCTCAGTTTCTGCATATATTTTTTCACATTCGTCTAAATTTATAGAAGAATCTGATACTTCTATGGGTCCTGGCTCCTGATTGTCCAAGGGCAAATCAGCGACGTCTAACATGTCGCTAGCTGGGTCTTCCCTTTCTGCTGCTAGATTAAAGTCCGCGCTTGAATCTACTCCTACTTCGATTGACTTCTTAATTTTTTTTCTACATCTTAGTTGTGATTCTTTAACGTATTCACTTTCATCATTTGACTCCGAAGATTCGTCGGAAGGTCTTTCATCGCTATATCCACTTTCAGCAGAATTATTAATAAATGTCGAGATAGGTTTAGCTTTACGACTAGAAAATTCTGCTCGAAGCTTTTTCCAGTCATTTTCAGATTGTGAATTTTTTTCTCGGGCTTGTTTCCACTTTTCACGACAGTATTCAAGTTCCTCCTTGAGTTCGTTTAGTAATTTTCGTTTTTGTTGTAACTCGTATTTAAGTATTTTTTCATGAGTGTGTAATTGATGGTGGTGTTTCCTTAAGCGGCCTACTACATGCCACGTTTTGCTTAATTCCGTGGTCACGAGACATAATCGTCGTTCTTGTTCTTGTAAGCGAGTTTCTAAGTGGCCATTTAGTTGTTTCATTCGGTTAACCTCTTTGATTAAACCAAGCTTTTCAATTATTAAATCCTGAAACAAAGACAAAGCATGATTTAGATATAAAATACGATGAACAACGATCTTGTATAATGAAAGTAATAAGAAAGCTGGCAGTGTTCGTGTTGTTTTTTAAAAATTGCACGAAAATTTGGTTCACTGCCAACTCTTATAATAGACTCACTCTTTTTTGTATGAGAAATGCAAAACATTGGTCATGAACGTATTTCGGTTCAATTATATTCATTGTTGAGTCATTTATCGTAATAACATTTCAGGGAAATTAAGGGTAAATAACAATACAAATTTACCTTTAATCTGATGTAGGTTTGGCTAACACTCGGTACTAATACCGGTCCTGATTTCGTTTCCACTGATTTGTAGCAAGAGGAGACTTTGACATCATCATTTGATTGTGGTTCACTTTGATGGCTCAACAGCTCAATAAGTACTCTCCAAACTTTAGGAAGATTTTGTACAATTTCTTCTGCTTTTGGATTTTCTAAGCTTTGAGTATCTGTAACATGAATAACTGCTACAAACAATTGTCTTCACACATTTTTTCACTTAAGAGAATTATGAAATATACCTGATTCCTTGTGAATATCTTCGGTTATTTCTTCGTCGGCATTAACTGATGTATCAGATTGTTTATTTTCATTATTTTCCTCAACTTGGCTGACCAGCTGCAATAGCAGCTTGGGCAATGCTGACGAAGCTTCAGATCCATTTTCTTGTTCAGCCATTTGTGTCAAGATACCGTGATTCTCTTCTAGGCGGTTGACAAGCTTATCTAAATCTTGTTTATTTTTGTATCCTAAAAGGACTTGGGAGAATAGCTGCAAAAATGCATATGAAAGGAAATTAGGAATTTACCGTAAAATTATTACAAATTATTAGCGACTGAAACTTACCTTGTTAACTACTTCCATTTCAGCATTTAGACCGTAAGTTTCGTTCTTTAAAGAAGCTATCTGGTTTATTTTGTCTTTGATCTCCTCTTCTAATTTATTAACAGTAGACTCAAGTTCTTCTACTTTTATAGACAAGTCTTGGCATCTACAAATTTTAAGTAAGTTTTGAAATATATTGTTCTGAAGTTACATCTACTATCAGAAAACGAGTAAAATAATAAAATAACACACTTTTTAACTTCTGCCTGGTGCAATTCTTTTTGTTCCTGAAGATCTCTCGATAGAGCTTGCCTGGTTACTTCAGCTAACCTTGCTCTTTCTTCATAGAGTCCTCTCAATGTTCGGATATTTTGTAGTTGACGTTCGTATTCTTGTCTCAAATCTGCGGATAGCATGTGTGTCTCTCTGTCAGCAAGAGACTGCTCTATTTCTGTTAACTTCTTCTTTAACTGGAAAATTAATAAAAAAGTAATGCGTAATATCTGACGATGCGTGTCGTCGTTTTGATTTTAAGTCGTAAATTGTTGATGAAACACATTGTATCGTCTGGCTCAATGACAAAATTCTTTGCCAAACGCATTTACGACGCGTCCAGTGCGTTCTAGTGGTCTTTGACCGGAGATGGAACTTTACTTAGTACGTAAACTAATTAATAATTAAGTATAGATATAAACTTATCTGTACTAAAAGAGGAAAGATTTGTATTCTTGTATGTATAGAAATCATTCAAAAACAACTACTTAGGCTGATTTGAAAAAAATTTTCACCATTAAAAAGCTTAGTTATCAGTGAGTAACATAGGCAATGTTTTTTTTATTATTTTTTCACTTCTCGCGGGCGAAGTCGCAAGTAACAGCTAGTTAAATACAGATTATTATAATATTAGTATAGATAAAATGTAATTGGAAACATAAATGATTTCGACCACGAAGTAAATGTTTAATTACCATAAGTAAACACTGTTTTTTTGGAAATGAACGGTGGTATTGAAAAGAATTTGAAGATTAGGTTTTAATAATAGACAGACAATAAAAATGTTCGACTATTAATTTCAAGAATGTTGACGTATGTAACATTTATGTGTATTTTTAAATCTAAATTACGCTTACCTCATTCAACTGTTCCTCCCGTAAGTTGATCATAGTTTTGCTGACGGTTACTACTTCTTTTAGCGACTTGATTTGTTTAAAAGATTCCGTATTCTGTGCGCTTAGTTCCGCCATATCGGAGTAAGCGTTTTGCAATGCATTATTTGTCATGGCTAGTTGAACTCTTAATTTATTGTTATTTGATTTTATTTTTTCTAACTCGTCTTTCATTTGCAAAACAGTTTCAGCAACATTTATTCTTTCTTTACTCGCATCAAGTTCGTCAGGAATCTCGATATTATTTTTAATCAACAATTCACGTAGTAATTTATTTTGATCCGCTAGCTCCAATTTTAATATCATTTCATTCTTTAAAGATTTTTCTAATTCTTTCTTTTCGTTTCTATGCCTTGATAATATTTCTTTTCTTTGTTCACGTTTGATACTTAATTGTTTTCTAAATTCGTTCATTTCCTCTTCCTTCCTTTTAGCTCGACTATCGTCATCGCTGTCTGTATCACGTAATTCTTCTTTATTATTTTTATCACCGGTTTCAATTTGTTCCATTGTCTCAGAATCACTATTGATTTTATCACTCGCGACTGAAGCGTTCTCTCCTGTCGGAGCACCACTGAAGATATTTCCCATTTTGGAATACTTTTATAAGGTACTCGCGATTTTATTATAGGCAATGACCGATGTACATACTTTTATCAAGACAAAGAGCCGATCGCTTTGGTAAGTAGAAGCATGAGGCCGCGATCCCGAAATAGATTCTCCGTCAGTTCCAGACGTGTTCCAACGTTTAGAGTTCGTACAGTATTGCCGAACGATCGCTTCACTTCCACTAATGTCTGTCAATTATTTATTTTTAACTAGTTATTTTAGAGTACGTGTTCTGTTCCCCCAATATTCTGCTTGTCTACGTCTTCATTTCAATAAACGAAGGCTATTGAAACAAAAAAAGATACTAATTTGTCAATTTAGTTTGAAATAAACTTTAACGTAATATTTCAGTTGATTGATTTAGTAACTAGGTATATTTTTTTACGCTTAATTCGGGTTGAAAGGAGATTAATGTTTACTTTTAATGAAAACGAATAATCGATAAGACTATAGAAATAAAATTAATACAATTGCATCAACCTAGATTTGAAGGCAATAATGTACATCAACTTGAGTAGAAAGCTATCGATGGGATATGTTTTACATTTCGTTGTTATATTTTATTTCTACTAAATAGAGTGTCATCTGTATTCTGGAGGTTAACCACTTAAAAGGTAAGAAATCGGTTATCGTAACTTTAAGTTAAAGAAATATTTGCATACGAAATTGCAGTGGTTTTTCGACAGGCGTAAGTAGGTATAATTTCCATGGTAATAAGGTTGTTTATTCTACATTTCAAAACAATTGTATACAAATTCTAGCTTTCGCCAATGACTACATTCGCGTGGTATTAAAGAAAGCAAAAGCAAGTAGCCTATGTGTTCTTCCAGACTATCCCCAACATCTATGCTAAATTTCGTCGAGATCTGCTCAGCAGTTTCGGCTACAAACTCTTACAAACATCCATCCATCCATCTAAATCTTCGTATTTGTAATATTAGTAAAACTATAAAAATAGATGTGGGTAAATAAGCAATAATTGAAGGTGTATTATTTTAACAGCCTGTGTTTTTATTTTGTTTCATCCATAATTTAAAAATATCGCAATTTATAATCTGTGTTAAACTTACAAAGAACCATAGATAATGATAAAATTTGTTAAATGTAAACGTCAATAATGTCAATTACGTTACGAATTTGTTACGGCTGGGCGACAAGTTGCATACCAAATCTATATCGTTTTGGAAAATACCAGTTTAATTAATACGTTTACATAATATCAAATATACTGAAATGGTGATAGTAAAGAATTAATACTTATTTGGTGTGAAATTTAAGTGAAACTAAGCGCACTGGTTTTAAAGTAAATATTTCAAGCTGTTTCAAGATTGATTTTTTATTTTGTTTATCCCAAAGTGGCTTATTGATAAAATTGCTAATAGTTATCACATCTCGCGTGACGTGGCTCGTTGTTGACAAAAATTTGGATATGCGAAATGTGAATTAGAAAAAAATTGAGTGATGGATGAAAGCAATCGTAAATCTCCTTGTAAGGTAAAATATTGTTGAAATACATTTATTAAAAATACCAAAAATTTCACAAACAAAAAGTTGTCTGATATTTAATAACATTATTATACAAAAATCTTACTATTAATTCTCTCTGTTTCTACTATCATTTTAAATACTGAATTTAAGTTGTTTTTTAATTCACATATAAGATTTTAAATTTTTAATTCACATATTCTGGAAATGCACGTTTTTAAATAGAGATGGTTTCACAGCTCATTAGAAAAAAATCTGTCCTATAAACATTAGCTAGACCAATTATATTTTGTAGACTTCTGTAATGCACTGTGCTTTTCTTTTATAATTTGCTCCATTTATTTGTTTTTTCAATCATCACATAGTATTTAACTCCTGTTTATATCATACCTTTAAAATTGACATTCCACATGCTTGTTATTGATTGTTTTGATGTTGCACCGTAATCAATAGGAATGCAACAGTGCGGGTGAGGCACAGTTGCATGCAGAAGTGGCAAACCTTCGGCAACATGTTGCAGACAAAGATGCGCACATTGTAGGTATTGAAGCGGAGTTTGTAAAGTGCACCGCTAGAGCTGACGATTTAGAGGAGCAGGTTGACACCTGGAGAGAGAAGTATGAAAGGTAAGACCTTTTAAAGTAACTATTATAAATGTGAAAGTTCAAAAAGATGGATGTATGTTTGTTACAATTTGCTGTCTAAATCATTGTATTGATCTCAAGGAACTTTGACACATGTAGAACCTAATCTGGATGAACATAGGCTACTTGCTTTGGTTTTTATTTAATCCCATGTGGATGGAGTCGCAGGCGAAAGCTAGTATCATATACATGTGTGAGATAAGGACAGAGAGATGATCAGTATAACAGCATAAGTTATTTAGTTTGTCCAGTAGTGTGAAGTAACTAATTTGTTATGCTAAAATACATGGACATAAAAATGTTTTTAAATAAGTAACTAGTTGGTACTGTCATTAATATTTTTTTAATTGCAATCAATTAGTTTTAACAGTTATCAGAGTGTTAATTAATAATTATTAAATAATCTTTATGAAGAATATTATTAAATAGTACTATTTGAGTGTAATAAGATGAAGTGTGTTGCTATTTTAAATATTGAGAAACTAGAACAATGCTTTATTTGGACAGGATGTTTTTAATAACCCATCTATGTAATAGTCATTTTACAAATCAAATGTAATATCCATTGTATTAAACCTTTATATTTTTATTAGATCTTATGATTAATATCATTGAATGTATTAGCTACTAGCTTTTGCTCGTGACTTCGTCTGCACAGAATTAAATAATAAACTAATAAGATTGCCTATGTCACTTGGGGATAGTGATAGTGTAGCTACCAAACAGTTATTTTTTTTTAATTCAGATCAGTAGATTTTTATCCTATTCAATGCAAACAAACAATCAAATGTTTCGTCTTTATAATATTTTATTAGCTATGACACTCAATGTTAAAATATGAAGATACTAAAATGAAAAATTTTTACCCCTATGACCACAATGTTAAAAACTTACGAAGTTTGATAGCAATTCATTAATTTCACGCTAATTCCCCCCTTAGTTCATACTATATTACTACCAACTTGGAAATTCACAGTTCGAATCTTGCTATTTGACTATTTTTTCAACACAAAGCATAAGCTTTTAATGTTATTTGATATTTCAATAAGTGTTAGTAAGTTACTTTAACTTTACTAATAAAATAATTAAATCTTCCAGACTGTATGATTCACATAAAAGAGTACAGAAATTGAATCAAGTTTTGGAAGACAAGTTGCTGCAGATGGTTGACAAGATGAAGAGTGAAAAGAGTCAGTTGACAAAAGATATAGCTACACTTTCTGTGAGATTAGCCGAGTCTAAGCATAACTACAGTATGCTGCAGAAAGAAAATGTAAGTTTTTATATGCTAGAAACTTCTGTCAATCATAAAACATATTTTTATTAAAAAATTCTTCAACACTACAATTGATATTGTATTCTTTGTGTTCCAGGAAAGGTACAAAAATGACATGAACTTAGCCATCCAGTTGCTACAATGTAAACCTGATAATTTTGTGTCTCAGAAACTAGATAATGTAAGTAAATATGATTTTAATATTGAAAGTCAAATATAATGGTATAAACTATAAAATGTAATAATAATTGTGTTAATTTCCAGCTCCCTGTAGACACTCAAGCAAGAGTTTCCCAATATGTTATGTCCAAGACATCGAAACCGCCAAGTTCTAGTCAATCTAAAACTGGCAATGATTTGGATACCTTCGATGCTAGTGAATATGAGTTCAATATATCTGCATCTCTTATGTCTAAAATATTAGAAGACAGCATCCAAGATACGCTAACAAAACACTGTGATACATGCACTTGTACTAAATCACAAAGCAAACCATTCTGTTACAATGAAAGTTACTATTCAGTGTCGACGCAAACACCATTGTCCGGTGAAATGAAGAATTCTCTCTGTTTGAACTGCAACTCTGAGATAAAGTCTTTGAAATCAAATGTTAGCATGCGGAGTGTATCTCCACATGCCATTAAACTCTTAAACGAGAAGACTAACCTCGCACTTGGCATGTATATAGTGCCGCAGACAGTGGAAACTGAAAGCAACAAAAATGGAATAGAAAAACCTGTATCTAACAATATTGTTGAACAACCTCCAATGGAAACTAATCCAATAGTTTGTACTATAGAAAAGGAAGCTATTAAAGTGATAGAAGAAGAATTGAAACATTTAAAGAAAAATAATATGAATATGGAACCTTCGGTCCATCATAAGCTATGCGATAGAACGAAGACTTCGATATCTAGCAAGAAAAGTAGTGTTCATAGCATCGCTGCTGAAGATCTACTTAAAGATAAAGTTATTGATAAAGATGCAAAATCGAACAACCAAATACAAGCAGCCGAAACTACCAGTATTCGAAAGAATTCTCAAAGTTCTATGGGAGGAGTGAGTCGAACATCTTCTGTGGCAAAGTCTACAGTTAGCACACATAAATCAAACACTCAAGTGGGTCCAGGACCTAGATTTTGTCACTTACGTATGCAAGCCGGATCTAAAAATATACTATTGGATAATGCGGAACCAGATGTCCCGCCAGTATTGTATAGACGACAAAGCAAATGTACCGAAAATTCCATTTTCAAAGATCTAAATGATGGTATGGAGAATTTTATTGACTTAGTGAAAACAGACGATGACTACAAAATTGTAGTTAATAATGAAAGTGTTGTAGTCGAAACTACTCTAATCGATGTTCATGTAGATAATAATAATAAAGATTCAGAAAGTTCCATTAAAACGAATTCCATCAATCCAATTCTATTGAACGTGTCTTCATCGCCTTTGCAACCATTAAAAACACATAATTTCTCAAATAGCTCGGAACACAACAATAATAATACACAAAGTATCACCAGTCAGCAAAATCAAACCGATGTTGATAATCTATTGAACGATTTTAATGTCGACAACGCTATGCAAAACAACAATGCTGAAACTGGAACAGAGAAAAAATTTGATTTCGTAAACTCCACTGATAATGAAGACATAAAAATATTCAATTTCGATCATTATGAACAAACTAAAGCCGGTCAGTTTTCTAGACCGCTAAAAAAAATCGACATGTCACAATTGCATTCCATTGAAAATACAAAGATATCCAAAGATTACCCACCGATAGGAAACGTATCAAGTTTAGATAAAAAAGATCAGGCAAATGTCAAACAGAAGTCATCATTGCCGGCTATCGTCAACGTTTATCCCAATCTGACGCAAACGCATTTAAAAGTAAACGAGAGTACTAAAGTATTTACAAACGAACAGAGCACGAGTTCTTTGTCCAGCGACGATAGTGCTGCGTTACTGCAAAAGCAACAGTTACTAAGAGTTGCAGAATGGGTCGAGAAAAACTTGGAACAACAGAACAGTTTCAACGATCCATTAGAGGACGAATGCTTTGTTAATCGGAACATCAGAAGGGATAGTAAACTGAGTAGACTTACTGAGACATTGAACGAACTCGCTCTCAACATGCCACATCCTGTGAGCAAATTTTCAAAACCATTCTCACGAGATGCCCACAACAGTTGGATTCATACACATCAGAATACTAACCAAGAGAAAGATAAAGTTACAAAAATAACCGGCAATGTTGTTAAAGAAACAATATTTCCAGTCGAAAGTGGTGATGTGACCGTTACTGAAATAAATGTGGGTAGTACAGAAAGAGATATGAACAATTATAAACTGGGCAATGATTTAGCAGGGAGTTTAAAGTCTAACGATAAAGAGATATCGGCGGAAGATTTGGCGAGAATGGAATATAATGTGAAGAAGTTTTTATTGAGCGGGCCGCAGTGGGCCAGCCCTGCCTCCGCCGCCAGGAGCCGTCGGACGAGCAGCAAAACTGAGACTGACGTATAGTTTCACATTCCATATTATGAAGGCTAAGGCTAAGTCGCTCGCTGATTCTATCAGTATTTGTAAGAGCTTTTAAATCAGATAATTGCTTACATTTGAGGCTACATGTGAAAGTATATTGTGTCGCTTTAAGAGAGGGTACTCTTAAAATTTATATCTTGAAATGGACTGAAGTTAGATGTAAGTGGGTTTAATGATTAATGCTAAAGATTTTTGCTATAAAATCAAAACTTGATATCATAGATAGGTTCAAACGTATTTAACTTCACTTTATAAAACGGCCCATTTTGGTAGCACCCTGTGTATTTTAATTTCAAGAACTCAACATTCCAAACATAAGAAACTGTAAAAGTTATTAAATAAAATAACTAATTTTAAACCATATTAGTTCCTGTTCGCACGGGCGGTTTTAAAACGCGCGCGGTCATACGAACGTATTAAAATCACTCTTGTTCCGGTCTAGAGTTCAAAATGCAACACAGCGCAATTTAATTACGTCGCGTTGTAAAAGTTTTACGTATTCACAGTTACATGAGATGCATTTGTTCTATTTAAATGCTTTTAACGCGCGTTAAAAAAGCGCCCGTGTGAATCGTTGCAAAAGGCGTTTTTTCAAATAATTTAAATATTTTTGTGTACTCGCTTTTATTGACGGGCCATCGTGATTTTTATTTTTAATGAACATGTTATGATTTTTATTCTTACTTTATATTTTTTTATCGAATTTAAACCCTAGTCACATATTTTCATATGGTTTATGAATCGTAGTTTTTATATTTTACTTATTTGTCACACACCATTTTACGCAAAACCAAAAGCTGCCACTTGCTATTTTAGACTTAGATTAGGATCGCAATTATATACAAAAAAAACAAAGTATTAATTCGGACAAATATGCATTAAAGTTTCTATTAATGTGATAAATACAAAGTATAAATTAGCTTTCACTTGTGTACAAAATTGTTTAAGCACATAATCTATTCAGCAGCTAGTACATAAAAATATACAGTTTTCTTGTCAAATGTATTCCAAAGTCTTTGACTCATTCCACTTAAGTACGGCTAAATACGGAATCCGTCGATTGAGAATTAGTACTCAAAAGTATTTTAAAATTAGTCGTAAGTTATTTACTGCTATGCATTTATAACTTTACGAGATAAAAGCTGATATCTAAAATTTTTCTCCATACATATACCTCAAAGTTTTTCAAAATTTAAAACTATCCAGTAGTTTTTGAGTTATTCTTTAAAAAAATCTATTTAAACTCGGTAATTTTTGTCTCGAACTCTGATATTTTTCAAAATTTTGGGTTATTACAAACATTTTTGGCGTCCAACACAATTTTCAGATCTAAGTAATCAGTTTTCATCACGTAAGGTTATTGAACTGTGCTTTTGCTGCGTCTGCTAAATAAATTAAGTACGAGTGTGCAAAATGATGTCCTCTTGAATGGAATATATTTTTAAATGTAGTCTAGATAGGCTAATTGAAATGTTAGTACGTACGGAATGCAAAGCTAATTTTGGTGTGTTTATAATGTTAAATTCTTGCACAATTTTATGTCTTAATGTTAGTGATCGTCTCCACAAGATTTATATCAGGGGTGTCCAAATTTAGGTATTTTTTTCGCTAATGATTTAAGTCAGTTTTACAATGCTCTTGTGTTTGAAAGTCTTTAGGAGTTAAATCCGCCTTTTAGTATCAACGTTAATAATGAAGTAAATCGAAACCGATACAGACTCTAGTTTGGACACCATTGAAATATGAAGCATATTACGTATTGATAGCAAATAATGTGAAACAAATTAATTTTATCACGAACTTGTGATAGTTTATTTTTTTATTTTTCAAATTATCAACTTGTGACAATATTTTGTGATGTTTTAATCGTATTTATTTTTTTTTTTCGGTTATTGTGTCTTTGAACGTTGTTATTTTTGTGTTAGTGTTATATAAGTCATAGATCTGCTTCCCGAAGTGTAAGAAAGCTAGGGCTGGCCCTATGTAATGAAGCTTCAGCGTACATTGTAAACGTGTTTATTTATTAAATACATGGTGACATAATCATTTTATTTTAATCTACCCTATTAAAACATCCACTCAGTAGTAGGTTATTTATGCCTTGCAGGGGATCTTAAGAGGGCTCTACATGATCAGAACTGTCTTAGCGGTAGACATCGATCGTAGTAAAAATGCCTGGGAGGATCATTGTGCCTTTAATCGGTGCCAGCCCTTACAAGGGTAGGCAATTTCCTCACATAACAAACAATACGTGTAGCTTATCTGAAGAATATTGCGCGATATTCCGAGCAGTCATAAAGTTTGTGTGGCTTTGAGTGCAGAGTTAATAAGTGAATAGTAGAAGATGGCATGATCATCGGCGCATGTAATGTGTAGTAGCTAACAAGGTAGGGCTTATCGATATCTAAGACCTTCGCGTTTCCAAAATCGCTTCAACTGAGAGGCTATTGTTCGCCCGGCCTTGCGCACTCGACCCATTGTTCAAAGCTTCAATATTCGCTTTAACATAAAATTTCACCTTGAATGAATTATTAACACATGCGATTGTTTATTTTTTATCTTGTGGCAGAAGGTACACGAACTTTAATCTTGGATTCCTGTTATTGCATTGTTTTTGCCTTGTATGATTGTTTTTGAAACACGGAATTTAGTAAACACGACAATCATTGTATGATATATTTGATTGGAAACCTCTATTTAAGTATGGTACAAAGCTAACCAATTACGAGTATAAGGTGCTTGTACTTTTTACATTATAAGTACTTTGCATACTTTGTAATACTTTAACGATAAGCTAGATTTATCCAACTACCCTACTATTATAGTTTTTATATTAACTTTTAAGTAAGGTTATCATGCGTTAAGAACCTTTTTTCCTACAGTATAATGTGTTATGAAAGTGTTTCAATCGTCCATAGCGGATATTTTCGAATATTGCACGGTGCGGTGCGTACAAAGTTATGTCGCTCGTCGCAATGCCGCCTCTAATCGCTTCTTGCTTGTTCCTGCCAATCACCAATAAGGTAACCATCAATCTCTTGTATAGATGGATTTAATGTTCATTGTAACAATGACGGATCACACATGATAAGACCTACAATCCAGACTGATCTGACTACGAGTTTACAAAAAAGTTACGCATAGATGTTTATACTTTAGAATGAATACTTACAATTGGTGTTCTAAACGTCCAAAATCTATTTCCCTAGTAAAGGAAATCACTTTTTAGTAGATCCCGTCCTCCATAAATTGTTTTGCTACCCTAGCTTCAAGTTGAAGTGAATGACCATGAAATTGGAATCACGCGACAGGTGGCCAGCCCTTGATAGTGTGATCTAGACACCGGCAATTATTTGATCCTGCCACGCTTCATAACATCAGGGAGGTATGTCGACAAACAATTACATTGCGTTTAGTATAGCTTCATGATGCGACGTAGCTAATCAGAAAAGAGCTAGGTGTTAGCAAAGATAATAAAATACTATACTAATTGTATGCTATCGTATAGAATATTTAAGAATTTTCAATTACCTATCTTTTCTTTTGTCTACCCACATTAACTTGGAAGACGTGAAAGCCTGGAATTTACTTGATAAATAAAAACGCATATCCATAGATTAATTTAAAACATTCGTTCCACTCAGTGACTTCTAAATTGTTATCGGAAGGTGATGTTTTACAATACTTTTTATTATGTACGGTGTTGGTTTTAACACGGTCAATAAGAAAGAAATCAATAAGCGGCCTAAATTTTTGGTAACCACAGAAAAAAGGTACGTACGTCTGTGTTGTGGGAGTTTTATTTTATTGACCGCGAGGTTTCTTAAAATACGAAAATTAGTTTACGATGGATGACTAGATTTTAAATGAATTCAACACTTCACTGCTACTAATTCGTCTGGCGAGTTTACTCTAATATGAAGTAGTCGTAATGGCAGTGAACGTGTTAAGAAAAGAATACTTTAACAATATTTTTCCTCTTTACCTCAATTCAAAATCAGTTGATTTATTAGATGCGTTGGTTACTTTAAGGGGTCGAGTGAAATGTTTCAATGTTCATTTCCTGCATGTTTCTTTCGAACGAATTGAAAAAAGAAATGGCATATAATTAATGCTTTTGTTGGCAACTTGACCGTCTGCAACTTGGTCAAGTGAATAATATAAAAATTTCACGGAAACTCAATCGAATCTTAATCGAGCTTTTAATGATCGGTCGCTTAGTTTGATTTGAAATCAACTCTGGGATTAGATAGGGTCTACTTCGTTTGTTTAACTGTAGGTAGGTTAACATTTATACCAGTCGTCACTTTAGTCTTGCTATGCTTGCCTCTGATGGCTTACTTACCATGATTTTTGTTCAGTGAGTCGATGTTTGATGTAGGAATTATTAAAATGTAATTCAGTACATACCTAGTCATAAAATAAACTTCACTTTTCGTCCTTAAAACTTTGAATGTACTTGAGTTGTGTAGGATTAGTTTTGTTATAATCTGACTCATTTGAAAAAGTAAAGTACATAAATGTACTACTGTACTTTACAATTATGCGATAATATTGCGCGTAATACACGTTCTTAGAAACATTTCATGTCACAATGTGTTACACCAAACATGTAGGGCGGTTTTGTTTTTCTCACGGTCACCAAACAACGTTAGGAATATTTTTTTCAAAATTATTTTTTAAACCGTTACTATAACTGTCTGGTCTGGTAGAATTATTGTCGAAAACATGCTATGTCTTCGATATTCATTGGTATTGATTAGTAGCACTTTCAATAAAATGCACCCGTTAGCGAATGTTAGCGGTCGACACGCACGCTATTCGTAACGTTTTTACGACCTTATAACTATTATGTCCGTTCTAAAACTGTAACATCTATAACATCGTCTAATGAACGAAACTTAAACGATTCACGGTCATGAAATTCTTATGTCAGAATGTGTAAAAACAGTAACGATTTGCTCTCGGTTAGCGTCATTTACTTTAATTGGGAAGTACAGTCTTGTCAATCAACTCGTCAACTATAGGTACATCAATAGGATAGTTACCTTAAACTAGAATTTATATTTTCGAGTTAATTTAGAACTAATTACTTGTAATTTACTGGTATCTTAAAGGCTAGCTAGGTGTAGCTATAATTATTTCACACTAAAGGACAACTTAACGTCTATATAACGACTTCGACAAACCCATAAGGAAAATAGAAAAGAGACTTTGTTTTGACCTTGTTAATCCTCTAAAATTATACCATTAACCTACCACAACGGTAACCGCGTGCTGTTGCTATTCTACGTTGTCTTGTACAATCGTGATGTAAGATTTGAGGACTGCTACGTTTCATGTGTGATGACGTCACGTAATCGTGTGAACAGTTACAGTACTTTTAGGAGCTATTATTTTCGCTACGCAACTTACTGTTATAATGTTTGTGTCACATGTTATTTAAACGAAAACTCAAAATTTAACTTTAGATGTAGTTTATGTTAGGTTAATTGTTGCTTTCAAAGAATTTTTAAGGTAGAATTTCGACTCATTTTTACGATTTTAATGTAACTTAAATCAAATTGGCGATAAAAAAAATGCTTTGACATGTTACATTAGACATCATGCAATTTTTCTTATTCAGAATAAGAAATGTTAGCTTCAATAAATTTGATCTTGAAACTAAAAACAATAAAATAAGAAAATAATGCATCCGAGTACACCGAATACCGTCAAATTTGTTTAAATTAAGTAAGAATGCTTCTAAGTACAGGATAAAAACAGCTCTTAACCTAAAAACCCATTTGGCCGTTATTATGAATAGATTTAGTAATTGTATTGAAAGGTTTGTCCGCGGTAAAGTGTGAAATACTCGGAGAAAGCTTTCACACGGCGCCACCGTAAGTTGTACGTGAATTGTCGTCAGCGGTCAAATGCAACCCGGTTTGGCTCACGCCGGGTCAATCAAATTGCCCTGCTGTATGACGATGTGCTCTACATTTAAACTGGTGAAATATGTTTTGAGGTTTAATAGTGTAAATAATTTTAATGTAACACAAATGACAGACTCCTTGAGATGTCCTCTTTTTGCTCCAATTGCATTAGGGCTAAAGAGCTCAAAATATTTTTAAACGTCTTCGATTAGGGCAAATAAAAAATTGATATGTTACACCAAAGCAATTCAATCGTAAAACCTACAAAAAACATTGTCCGGTCAAAAAGTTTAAAGATTCTACCCTTCCTATTTTCAGTTTTAATTAAAAACCTAATCATCGAACGTATTTGGTTAGTTAACCCATAAATAAATCGATAACATTAAGAATGTAATAAATACTTTTCGCTATTTTTAAAAGTAAAAAGAAATGTCAAAGAAGTTTTGTAAAGTGTCAAATTATGACAGGACTTGTATTTTTAACGAATGTCTTACGTATAAATAAATAACTGAGTTTTTAATTTTTTTTTATTCAACATTTCTCGTGAATTTCACTAATTTTACAACACGGGAGAAAATTGTAATGTGAAAATGTACTGAATTGTTTTTATAATTAGGGTACATATTAATATTATTTATTTCTTTTGCAGTAGTATTCTACAAAATTAAGTAAGTATTTCAATTATCTATTGCATTTATTATTAAAATAATGGGACTTAACATTTATTTAAAAATGTTGATTTCGATCACTTTGAACGTTTGTTAAGGTAGAACATTTGACTGTCCACATTGCCTGTCTCCTTTAATGTGAAATGGGCAGGTAAATCTAAAAGCAATTTTAGTTATGAACGTCCCAATGGAAACATAGAAACATATGAATTATTTTTATCTATCACGAAGTTAACAAAATAACAACAAATATGCCAGATATGTTTACTTTCTTCTATCTATATAAAATTGTAACAGCACAATAAGTAGTCAGGTTGGAAATAACTCTCAGTAAAAACTAGATCTATTGGTGGGATGGCCGGGGTAAAGGCGCGCGTGTTTGAGCCTCACATACCACAAAGGTATGAGATAATAAAGTCTAGAACCATATTGGTCTCAATAAAATAATACTTCAATATAAGATGAGAAATTCATGGGACCGAAATGTTCTAAGGAACCAAAGTTCCAATAAAAATACAGAGAAAAAAATAGAATAGAGGAATTCAAGAATCAAGGAAGGAAAGAGCTTATCGTGGGTTACACTACGCTAACAGTATGTCAGCGGTAATTTTTATGACCTCCAGTTAACTAACTTAGACCGAATTTGATGTGTAACTTGTCATTCGATTCGACGTCTCCATCAGAATGTTATTAGGGTTGACTAATTAGTGTTTATTTTGTGTTCTAGTGGTGAATGGAAAAATGCAAGCTTGGTACCTGCACGAAATGCGTTCGTAAGGAGGTGAACGTGGAGTTGGAGCGTGAGGTGGTGGCATGCGGTGCTGCCAGCGGCGGCGCGGGGCCGGAGGCGTGGCGGCGGCAGTGCGGCTGCGTGCGCACTAGCGATAAGCTGCGACGCATCATCGAACAGTTCCCATGCGCTCCGCCGCCCTCTCCTGCTGACAAGGGCACTTCACAATTCGTAATTTATTCAGTCATTCGAACTTACTAACCTCTCAAGTTCCTTATTAATTTTAACTAATACACTATCCAGCTCTCGATTTGTCCAGATTATTCGAGGCGATGACGTCACGATTTGGATGGGTTTCTTTGAAACCCAAGACTAGCTTGAATATTTACCAGAGATTAATTACTACAGTCATTAAGTAGTTAAGACTTCTGGTACTAAATCTTAAGTAAATGACTCTAAAAAGGAAGATGGCAAATATACCGCGTTTTATAAAAAGACTATCAACATTATGTATCAATAGACAAACCAAACTAATCCACGACTTGTTACAATTAGTTTAAAACTTTATTTTGATAATCCCATATGTGAAGTGATATTTGATTATGATGACCATGATTAAAATCTTTGTAAGGATATGTCCCAAATGTACGCTCCACAATTAATTTAGTTAATACATCATGAGATAAAAGTAATACGCAAGTCTTCTTTTGTTAAATCCAGCATAAAACGGATACGTGCATCTCCGCTTTCTGTTCGGTGCACCAAAACGCGTTTCCTACCTGCGAGCAGCGCGCCGACGATTCTATCGAATGTGCCACCATGGTCAAGGATAAAGAAATAGAGCAAGTAAGGTTTAGTCTGATTAGTTAATCGTAGTTGATACTAATAATACTAACATTATAAATGCGAAAGTTTAGATGGATGGATGTTTGTTAGAGTTTGTAGCCTAAACGGCTGAATGGATTTTGATGAAATTTAATTCCACGCAAACAGAGTTGCGGGCGAGAGCCAGTCTTTTATATTAATAAAGCTACAGACATTGCCCGAAAGGAAAATGAACGAAATATTGAAGGAAACAGTTTAAAACCGATTGTTATTTTACTTTTTATTACATCTGATAAATCAAAAGGGATTTAAGCTTTTTAACCTCCTGTTTAAAATGAATAAAATTGCTGTTAAAGTCGTTTTAAAGACAATTCTAAGCCGTATATCTTAATAAAAAAATCGTTTACTGTCTCATCTAATGTTAGTCTAGTTTTTTTTTCTAACAAGTGAAAAGTAGTCAGGAATTGTAATGTCGTGATAGAAGATAGGATCGGGAAGGATCGTGACGCGGCTAGTTCACGTGTTCCCAGAGGACGCGGCGGCTTTCAAAATACAGCCTCATTTCGATATTATCTAATCTTTGTAATACCGGCATAAAACCTTGACCTCCGTAACTTCGAGTATGAACATTCTTAAACCAATGTCTTTAACCCGAAATACTTTAACTAAAATTTTTTATTGTTAAAAAAAACAAGGTTATTTTTTACCCACGTATTACTTCCTTTCTGTTTATTATGTAATTATATTATGTTATTGTAACTTTTAAATGCGAATATAAGATTGTCACTTTAGTAGCGTAAGCTTTTAACCAGCGAGAGAATAGATTTCGCACATGTCATGGGTACACCTCTAAAAAGACATGTTTTACGAGAAAATTTGGCTAAAACAGCTTTTATTTTGGAATATTTAACAATTTTAATTTTTGAATTAATTTTGTTATGCAATTTTATATTGTAATAATCATAATTATTCTACTAACGGATACCGGATATAAAGGCGGATAATACGTAGCCTTCCGTAATAATCTGATTAAATATAATTTGTTACATTTAGTTTAATAATTTAATATCACGATTATAAACGAAATTAGACCTTGTAGAAAGAAGTTAACTCGCCAGTTGTAACGTCTAATGCTCAATTATTGAGATAAAATCTCTGTGGGTCAAAGCCAAGTATTCTGTTTTCATGTTCCGCGGTTAAATTACTAATATATTAAACTGTAAATACAACAAATAACATACATTAAGTATATGTACTTATTAACTCGAATGAAGAAATATATTCAATTTAATAGGCCGTAAAAATTATCACTGAAGTACCATAAGATCCTTGTCGGATTCATTATTCTTTGCCCTAACTTAACACAACCATCGACCATACTTCTGAATGAATGATTTTATCATGACCTTTACAGCAACCGTCGCGGCCGTTCGGCGTGGTGACTGACATAGTGCAGCTACTGCAGTTGTCGGTGACTGCGACTGCGCTTGCCCTCTACTACCTCATCTACTGCTACATGCAACTCGTCTACTACACACTTCGCTCTGCGCTGTACTTCCATAATGCTGACGGGTAAGATTCTAATAAATAGCAAAGGAAAGAATCGATTTTTATGTTCGGTAGTGATAAGAAAAGAGAATGAAACGTTTGACTAGGCTAGTTCTTTCAAGAGAAGAAATAGACTTCTAATGAATTAGGGAAGAAGAAAGGAAAGAGATAAAATTTATCTATTATTTTGGACACAGGCATTGGGGGAGGCCTATGTCCAGCAGTGGGCAGATAAAGACTGATGATAATAATAATTAATCTACATATTAAATTATTATCAACGCGCTTCATATACGTGCAAATCTAAATATATCTGAACAAAAGAATTGACAACATATTTCCACTCCTTTTCAAGATTGTTGTCAATTGTTTTTGATACACGTGTGGGAAGCGCGTTGATAATTTCATATCGTATCACTCACCTGTTTCCATTGTATCACGTCGAAGGCCGATGAAGATAACGATCGGCGTGGTGACGCTGACGTCACTCATCGTCGGCTTCAACCTGCTCGTGCGGCTCGAGCGGCTCCTATTCATCTTCAACTGACGCCCGATTTGTATGAAATTTGATATAAATTTACATGTCCCTTGATTTTCTGGTGTTATTTGAAAATAAAACGAATCCATCAGATTGTTTGTTCTAACAATGTAAACAAGCGTTTGTTATGTTTAGTCTATATTGCTTTTGAGCGTTTCCTTAAAGTTTAATTTGCATGAAATTTGGCATAGATCTAGAGCATAGTCTGAAAGAACACATAAGAACATTTTTGTTTCTGTTTAATTCCACGCGGACGGAGGCTCGGGCTAAAACTAGTTATACTAAACTGATTAAAATTTAAAATATCTTGTACATCTTAAGTGATATTTAAACATTCTTTATGCTATAACCCATTTACATTCTTGGTGCCATTAAGTCTTGTGGAAGAATAGCATGTTAAAGTAAACAAAACACGACGAAAAAAAAGAGAATTAACCGTAACCGTAGTTTAGATGAAGTGAAATTGTAGGTACTTTTAAATCGATCTACTTTTAACGTGATTAGACTTTCGTAATCATTTTAACATTGTGAAAAAAAAACTTATTTGATCGAAACAAAATTTCTGTGACAAGTCAAAATAATGTGGCTATGATAAGAAATAGTTCCTACAGCTCTAGGTTACCGGCTTTTAAAGAAAGAAAGAAAGAAATTTAAAGATTTGGAATAAGTTCTCATTATAAAAAAAACATTACTAGTAAAGAAGAAATAATTGTCTTTTAATATGGTGACTACTGAAACTCTACAAATATTCAGTGAACGATATAATTATTTCTAACTGATATTCACTATTTTATTTTACATTTCCCTTATCCAATTAAACTTATACAAATAAACGTAAAACAGCAAATAGTTTCACGTACTAACAAAATAACTAAGTCAAAACTAACGACAAATTAAAGGCTTTCACAATTTTTTATTTAGCAATTGTGTTGAAGTAGCGATCTCTTAGTACGGCGTTAAAGCCCCTTTCGACCATTGATACGGCGTCCGTGAGGGAGGAACGGAGGCTGTTCGCGTGGTCTATTACATTGTCGACCGTCAAAGGCGACGCGCGTTTATTCGCGACTACTCTAATACAAAATAACTTGTAATATAATCGGAATTTTCTAAGTTAAAGTGTATATCAAAATATAAGAGGCATTTCCATTGTGTAGTGCATTAGATGACAGTTGCGGGAAGTGTCGACCAGTGCATCGGTTAGTGAAAAATGGTGCTAAATACGAGGTAAGTGGAGTGTGGAGACATTTTTCGTAGTGACTAAGAAGCTAAAAGGATGAATTTTTTTATTATTTTTAATACCAATTCATTGTTTGTGGCCTGATACAATATTTGTGAAAATACTCGATATTTCCGCTGTTTGAATCTTACGAATATCTATACTAATAATATTATAAAGAGGAAAGATTTGTATTTTTGTATGTATTTGATCAACGTAAAAACTACTGAGCCGATTTTAAAAATCCTTTTACTATTACAAAGGTAATTAAACTGTGAGTAATATAGGCTTTATTTTTTAATTTGACGCGGACGAAGTCGCGAGCTAGTTAGATGCGAAAAGTTGGATGGATGGATTTTGTCGCCTAAACGCCTGAAGGGATTACGATGAAATTTGGTATAAATCTAGAGTATAGTCTGGAAGAACAGAGGCTACTTGCATTTGTTTTTTCCAATTCCACGAAAACGGAGTGGCGGGCCACTGATAGTATTCAGTATGAGTGACTGAAGATTTCATTAATTTCTGTTTTCTAAAATTTTAAAAATCAATCATTGAAATTTTTATGTAACGGAAAATAAAGTTAAGAAGTAATTTCAGAATAATAAATCTAAGGATATCCTCATACGCCGGCAAACCATCTATAGTTCTTCTGGTATTGCAGATGTCCATGGGCATCATTTTTTTCCTCTTTATACTTAATAGGGACTTTGTTCCTTAGAACATGTCAGTCCCATAATACCTTAAAGTAAATACCGAAACCATACAATTATAAACAAACACAATACAAAATAAGAAAGTGGAAAATAAAGAAAAAGCTAAAATAGTATTTACAAATTGCTATAAAGTCTTTAACACCATGTAGCGTACTTCGTCCGCTACGTCCGTCAGTCGATGGGCATCATTGATCACCTCAGTATTACATCCAATTTTTGCCGCCTTAAAAAAAAGAAACGAAATCGATGACTACAAACTTGTAGTCTAAATTTGATTTTGTATCTTTTAAATGGTATCTAATATATTTAACTCTTGATTAAAAAAAATAATGCACTACAAAAAGTAGTGCATTATTTTTTTAAATTATAAATTGGCATCGTAGTCAAGTATTTCTTTAGTAAGTTTTAAATTGCAGAATTTTCTTTCAAGGTGTGAATTATAAAAGTTAAATCTTTACTGGTTCTATGACCCCGCTACGCTTCGGTAGAATAAACGCAATCAATTGTTATTGACCACTCTACAAATAACATTTTAGATTCAAGTATTGAAGACACCTTTTGTTCTGGCACTTTGTATTTTCTATGGCGGTTTATTTGTATGCCAATGGTCAATTACGTATATGACCTTGATAAATGCAAATCATGAATTCTGTATAAAATTGTAATTGGCACTTAACAAGTTTTTTTTTATATTTTACAACGGCCTTTTGAAGTTAGATTAATTTAAAAATAATAATTTTAAAGAGAAACACAACTTTTTGTTATTATGTTGTAGTTTTTTTGCAATTAATGTTAAATATTTACGTTAAATGTACCAATAAAATTCCCAAAAATAATAGATAAATCATCATTATATCAAAGAGAAAAATAAGTATTACATGCATATATTTAGCTATTAGTAAGTAAGCAAATGGTTCAATGCCTGCAATTTGTTTGTGTCCTGTTTCTATAATAATTATGGTCTCTACAAGCTATCTGAATCTATTTTACTTCTTAGACTTCAATATAACAAGTCGATACTAGTTTTAGTTGTTATAGAATACTAGTTTTTCGCTGCATTCAATTCTAATTAAGTCATTCATTAGAGTAGGCGTCGCGCCGCCTTATATCATTTCTTTAGATGTTACCAAAATAGATATACAATAATTAAGTTTTAAATGCAATAGTGGAGACGTTTTAATTGCTAATAATTTTCGACTGAGTTTTTAAAGTTATATATAGAAAAAACCTTCTAACCACACTTAATATGTGTAACTTTAAAAATACTTAAGTCGGCAATGAAGTTTTATATGCAACATATGTTAGCTGCTAATCTTATTAAATTAGCTAACTTAAGAAGAAACTAACATGCAATTAGATGGTCATCATCATCATCATCATCATCTCCATATCCTACTCCCGTAGGGTCGGCGCAACAGGTTTTTGTTCTCCACATAACTCTATCATACGTCATCTCAGTCATCACTCCCTTTTTGATCATGCCACCTTTTACAAAATCCATCCATCTCTTTCTAATATAATATAGATGGTATAATTGAAATAAGGTGTAATTGTAAGGTTCCAATGATAGATTTTGAGTTGGTTAACAGTTCTTCTAATACCCATGCGTATCGGTAATTAGTCTAATTTGGAAAAGCCAGTCGTGTATTTAAATGACCAAATCAAATAACAAAGGATTTCCACGATCATCTCAACTCGTTAAACGACGCGAATCTCTGGACGTGACCATGTCATGATGTAATTGTTGATCGATTTACAGGTATACGTGATTTAAGATTATTCACTTAATTACTTGGACTATTTTATTCTACATTAACTTTCGCCCGCGACTCCGTCCGCGTGGTTATGTAAAAAATAAAACCAAGTATCCTATGTGTTCTTTCAGACTATCCTCTATATCTATGCCAAATTTCATTGAGATCCGTTCTGCCGTTTAGGCTACAAACTCTAACAAACATCCATCCATCCATCTATTCATCTAAACTTTCACATTTGTGACATTAGCATGATTTCTTAAAAGGTTTTTTTTTTCGAAAAGTTACTAATTTTATTGCGCTATCTCGAGATATTTTTAGGTTATAAGACACTAGAAGTTTTTAAGAGATTGACTATATGGCGCTGAAAAATGTTCCTATAATAATATGTGAATTTATATTTTCTTGAACCAAATCTGTATAAAATTACTTAGTAAATGTTTACAAGATATATGAAATAACTGTTCATAACATTACCATTTTAATATTAAGATAGATAAGGTTGATAAATATAATATTGCGTCAGTACACGTAATTATCAAAATGAACATCCTTGTTAGTTCCATGCATTAGGAAGTAGTATTAAGGCCGGAGCCGCAGGGAATGAAGACGCGCCGGATACTCCGAGGCCGCTCTGCGAACACACGATAAATGCTTTTTATAGCTACTGTTTCATGATGGCTTTGTGTATTTTACAATTTGAACCAATATTTTGTCAATAACATTTTAATTTTTTTTAAGTTTTTTAACTGACATTCTGTTTTGAATTAAAATAGTATAAAGAAGAAAGATTTGTATTTTTGTATGTACTAAAATAACTAAAAAAGCACTGGGTCAATATCAAAAATTCTTTGACCATTAAAAAGCTACGTTGTCACTCAGCAAGAGTTTTTTACTATTTCACAATTTCACGAGGATCAAGTAACAAGCAACAGTTAGCATTCAATAATCATGATTACAAAAGCAGAAGTTTTTGGAAATCTAAGATAGAATAATACTGAATCACAAGTATGTTAACTCTGGTTAAGATAAATGTTACAACGGGGACAAAAAGTGTTTGTCCTATGCGTTCGGTCGTCAGTACTCGTACATTTTTTGATGACATTGAATGATATCGGAGGAAACAGAGCGCGACTGAATAAACTGTAGCGACTCTTCACGCTCAGTACAACAAATGTTTATTTAAGAAAAATGTAATAGTTTATTAATTTAAATATTGTTAGACAGAACTGTTAAATTTTGTGATGTATACTAGAATCAAATGTTTCGACTGGAGTAATCAAATAATTAAATTATTAATCAATAACTAATCAGATTACAGAGTTAATTTTTATAATTAAACAAACTCCATGTTTTACACAATTAAGAAAATGTATATACAAACATGATATGATATATAACTTAACAACAATTCACATTGTGACGAAGATTATCAACATAGTAGTGTTCGATTTTTCGCTCTCAAGAAGATTTTATCTATGATTTTAAATCAACATTATAAATTTAATTTACTTTCAATATATCAAAGTAAAACTCAATTAAAATTGTACCGTAAAAAACTAACAATAAAATATCTAACGGTGACATCGTAGCGTGCGCCCGTTTATGTCTTTTGTTCTACGTAGATTACGCGACGCCACAACGCACCACCGGCGGACCTCAGCGCGTCGCTGTCTTTGTTCGACACTTAAAAAAGTTGACTTAATACATTTGTTTTGTCTACCTGCCGGCATTTCGGTGTTTATAGAACAACCGAGTAAAATATGTGGTCATTTGAACAAAGAAATGTGAAAAGAAAAGTAGTGTAAGTGGATTTTGCGTTGTCCTATTTTTTTTAATTAAATTACACACAAACATACTTCAATTCAGCATTTAAATAGTAATTGGATAGATAGATAGTATTATGAGTTAGCAATTAACAGATATGCAATGTAGGAAAACATCGTAATACTATTCAAATATCTGCGAACAAATTCGAAACATTAACAACAGATCCGAACTGAGCCGGAATAGTTGATTTACGCCAAGCCATACTTAATAGGGAAATATGGAGACTTCAGCGGTAGCGTATTTTAGCTCACAAGTTTTCAGTTGGTCACAGTCAGTTGGTTTCAGTCACATCATCAGCAACTTGTCCTTTTCCCTAACGGAGGGTCGGCACAGTATGTTTGTATTGTATAGGTGACATATCATCATCCACTTGCCCTTATCCCTTATGGAGGGTCGGCACAGTATGTGCTGCTCTTCCATACATCTCTATCAGCCGTCAAATCTGAATTCACTCCTTTCTTAAGCATATCTTCTTTCACACAATCCATCCATATTTTCTTCGGTCTTCCTCTTCCTTTGTAGCCATCCACACTCAATCTCAACACTTTCTGGTTTATGTCCCCATCATTATATATATATTATATATGTGTATAGGTGACATATGACATACATAAAAGCTAGTAGAGATTGCTGTTGTAATAAGCTACATTTCTAGATGTTACTGCTGTATCAGACCTGGATATCTTGGTGGGGATATCCCGTGGGAACTCGTTGCGCCGCGTCGTGGAATTTTATGCTTATCACGTTTTTGTTTATCGTTCCGCCGCAAAGATTGGTGCATAATTAGTCTATTCCACCAAACGGCATTTTATTGGTAATTGGAGTATAACAGATGACTAAAAATAATGACAGTTTGTTTTTTACTAGATGATAAAGTTAGAAGATTATTCCCATGACAGAGATGACTTGAGAGTTTTGTCAACAAGATTTATAAGAGTTTTCTTATTCATAGTTATCGAACTTGTCGGTGTCAATAGCATTTGGTGAAAGCAAATCAAAAATCATACAAAATCATGTTTATAACCGTTTTATCCTCTTAAAAGCGAGATAATTTATTAATGATGGATATGTAAATTCTCGCACTGATCTGTCTGCCATCAAAATCCACTAGAACCATTGATGAATTCTATCTATTCTATCTTAGATTTCCAAAAACTTCTGCTTTTGTAATCATGATTATTGAATGCTAACTGTTGCTTGTTACTTGATCCTCGTGAAATTGTGAAATAGTAAAAAACTCTTGCTGAGTGACAACGTAGCTTTTTAATGGTCAAAGAATTTTTGATATTGACCCAGTGCTTTTTTAGTTATTTTAGTACATACAAAAATACAAATCTTTCTTCTTTATACTATTTATATATTATAGACTAGCTGTTCCCGTGCGACTTTATCCGCATGAAATTATGAACATTTTATTTTATGGTTTACATGTGTCAAATTATCAATTCCAAATGTCAAAATGACATGACATGACAAACCTTGGCAATATTGCTTCCTTGATGTTGGCAGCAACTTATGGTCTCTTTCCCACATTAGGGTATTTTATGCAAAATATTTACACCCTAAGTTTAATGGCGTGGAAATATATAGCCAAAAGCCTGACGTAAGTGTAGGGCTTTTTATTAAAAAAATAATTATTCAAAAATATGCTGTAATTGCTGAGATCTTAGGCAACATAGAAGTGTGTGTTTACGCTTTATTATAATAGTATAGATTTTCCTTACCTCTCCGGTGTACATAGGCAAATATTGTTAAAGGTAAGATAAAGAAAGACGTGATAAAGGCACTTATTTATTTTTATTCAATCTTTTCTTACCATTTTATTGCCTCAGACGAAGCAGTCGTCGGTTACGAATCGAAAATTACGCGATATCAATCACTGGATTTGCAGATCGACGAGTAACGGATCAATTTATTCCGAACTCGATCACGATTCAATGCCGATTATAATTTACCTAAAGATTTGCTATGATTGTCTAGCTGTGAGTCTGGTTTTACGAATTTTTATCGTAAATTAGTTTTAATATTTTATAGTTTATTTAATACTTTTAACTATTTAAGTTTAAAATCAGGGTGAATTTTAAAGAAAATTTATCTTCAGGGTATTGCGTAATGTAATAATGAAAATAAGTACTACAACAACTTACTGTACTTATTTAAATTTGCGGGTAATTTCAGAAAACAATTTATATTTTTTATTTTTATATGTGACCATATTTAAGGTAGTTGAATATTTTAAAGATACAATTGTATCTTGGTTTGAGAATTAGTTCATTTACCTTTAACACCGTAATAATTTGTTAATTTCATTACGATTACTGAATTATCTGTGCAAAGGACACGAAGGCTACAGTCCAACGACTGCGGTAAGGTCATTGACTTCATAATAAAATAGGTAAATTGGATTAGAGTTTGATGTAACTAAATTATACGGATCGAGTATTATAAGACCTGTGAAATAATTGAATTTTCTGATATGATTTTTATATTAAATTTAAAACAAGATTCTGTAAAGTATGTATATTATTAATTTAGTTAGTTTTATTTGTAAATTAAAATTGAATCTAAACGAATTAGACCATGAATAATACACCAGTAGTAACATAATCATATAAGTAGCATATACTATAATCAAACGTAAGTTATCTTTTTAAATCAATGTAGTGCCCGGTTTTGTTTTTTTTTTCACATAATTGGATAAAACAAGAGGATGCAATGGATTTTCTACGTTGGTAGTATTCTTTTAATTTATTTCTCAGTAGATTACATACGTTTTCAATCTTGTGTCATTTAGTAGATAGCAGGTTACTGCATAAATTATATTAAAATGTTTTTTATCGGCATTGCTACATTTATAGTTAGCAATCATACAAAAAAGAGAATAGAAAATTGGATTAGATTGTATCCAAGCTACTGCATACAAATATCATTGATTTGATCTTACATTGTAATTGATGAGGATATTGTTTCTCCGGTTCAATTCCCCGCCCTGTTATTACATCGCCGTGTATTTTGACCTCTCATAGATCTAATATCGATTGAGTAATACGTTGTTTTGTAGCCTTTGACGTCACGAACTTTGTATTATTTTATTTATTAATGTTTATTGTATTTTTATGTTTTAGAACATTGTAGTTGGATAGAACTGTAGGATATTAATTATATTTTCATTTACTAGTTGGTTAATATTAAAATCATTTTGTTCCAGATTGATCGTAACTTGCTGCGTGCTTCTTTGTATAAGAGTAAGTGTATTTAAGTTTAATGTTTTCTATTTAACCGAAAACCTTCTAACTCTGAAACCTACACCTAATGACATACATATTTATGTATTAATATTTCATTTTTTCATGTAACAGCAAATCAACACATCGCCATACGCAGAGGGGTCGTCTGAGTCATCCGAGGCGTCTACTGAGGCGCATCTCGTGTCGGCGTCGGCGGAGCTTCACGAAGGCTCCGGAGATGATCCGCCTGGGATAGGTGTCACCTCATCAATAAAGGTAGCTACTCGTATGTCTTACTATTATAAATGTGAATTGTCATAGAGATTCTTATCAACTTTATCTAATATTTTTGTTGCACTTGATGAGTTGGTTGGTCGTAATGATCTTATGGGATAATAATTTTATTGTAGAGACTGTAACAAGTACATTGTAACATGATTCTATTTACTAAAGCTTCTCTTTGCCGTCTTTACAAATGAATGCCTAAATTTTCAAAGTGTTTAATGCTGTTTTTAGTAGATAATAAACATATTAATTTGTTTTCAGAACGAGACGAGAGAAGCTCTTAAATCAGACGGCAGTGAACAAGATCCGGTAAGTTTTCCAATGACCTTTATTAAATACTAGCTACTGCTCGCGTCTTCGTCGGCGCGTAAATACAATTTTATGTGATACTCTATGTTAGATGTTCATTCGATTTTTAAATTGCTTTCACTCGCGACTCCATCCGCGTGGAATTAAAAATAAAACAAAAGTGAGTAGCCTATGTGATCTTCCAGGCTATCTCTACATCTATCAAAATTTCATTGAAATCTGTTCAGCCGTTTAGGCTACAAACTCTAACAAGATACATCCATCTATCTAAACTTTCGCATTTATAATATTAGTATGATGTAAATGTCTAACACCATGGAGTGCATTTTGATTGCTCAACTTGGTTGCGGCCAGTGGTCCAAAGAGAGGCCACCGAGGGCTGCCGTTTGTGCAATCACATACAATAACACTAAGTACAGTGAAGTGCGAAGGACTGACGATCTAACAACAATGTGAATCATACATGGACACGCCATTGTAGGATAGGTGATGATCCATAAAAACATTATGTCTTTAATATATGAGTTTTCTAATGTATAATGAATGGTTATAACTTCAAACAAACCGTTTCCTTTATAAATGTTTCTGGCATAACAGTTACTCTCAAATTAGTCTTTTTAATAAAAAAAATTCAGATACCGGAAAAGTGAAATGACGTAACGTACGTACTATGTAGATAATTTGACGTATCTGGTTAACTACGACGTTAAATCGAAATAAGACATAGACGCAGTTTGAGTAACAATTAACATCAGACTTCATGAGAACGCAGGTCCGTTGTAGTGACGTTTGAGATAACATCTGACCTGTCGAGTGCTAACTACTCTATGATCTAGCTGTGCTCTGACTCACATTGCAGCTAACCATGAACATTATCTGCCCCACATAGACCTGCGCCCGCGACGCCCTTCCCATGAAATTGCAATTACCTCTACTTTTCAATTAAACGCCGGTAAAACCAGAAACAAAGTTCCATCGTTTTCGAACACTATTTTTGATAAATTAGATTTCCATTTACCTGTATAAGAAGTTTATTTGTGTTATTAAGATTTAAGAATTAATTTATTTCCCTAATAAGAATTACAAAATTCACTTACTTAAGGAACTTACTTATCTAACATTTGTTATATAATCCAAGAATACACTAAACTATAACGTTGTTACGAAATATCGAGAAATGTAGCTTTTTATCAATTTAAATTCTTATTGTATTAATATAACAATTTTTTCAGTGTAATCATGATTTTTTTTTAACAAAACTCATTAACATATTTTAATCAGCGTTTTGTTGCACAACCGTAACGTAGACAGTAGTCGCTGAACAATAAATTGTTGGCCCAATTTACTAATGCGTGCCGCGGCTGAGTCGACTAGCGACGGCTGAGGCGGCGAAGGCTGCGTGCGACCCGCCCGGCATACTTACAGATTATCCATTACTTTTTCTGCAAAACCTCGAAGGGGTCGTGACTGTGAAATGGTGCATTACTCTCGGTAATTCGACAATTTGTTTAGAAGACTTTCTTTGGATAATAGATGCAATTGTCGCCAGTAGCACTCGCGGGGGAAATTTTCGCTAACGTATTTGTCGGTTTTACTTTCGAAAGCATTTTGGGTCAATGTTGTGACACTAATTTGTGTAAAACGTTTGTGAGTGATGGTTTGTGGGTTTAGGGTCGACGGAAGGACGTCGTTAGGTTAGCTGATGATAATCGCACTACACTGACCATTGTTTGAAAGCGACTTTACGAATGTCACAAAAATGAACTTAGCAAGTAAAAAGTTTTGACTTCTTTCAAGTAAAACTAGAAATATGGAGCAGTAGAGATATCATATTCGCTAAGTTCGAAACATCTTTAGTAAGAGATGATATTAAAACTTGAATGACAACTTAACATCTTAACAATAGACAATACAATTTTCAGATACAAGAACGCAATCTTAATTTGTTTATTGTTCTTTAGGTGGTGTTTGTATCAGAGAAGAACAGCTACATACCAGTGAGCATAAAGCCGCGGTCTCCAGCGAGCGAGGTGGCGTGGCGAGAGCCGCCTGCCTGGGAGCGAGAGTACCGTCGTCAACGCACCAACGGCAGCAGAGTGCAATGTATGTGAAGCTTTATTTCTTAATAACAACTAGAACCCAGTAAGCTAACAACGTTAGAAAGCAGTATTAGATGCGTGGGACGATGTTATGAATAATATGCCTGTAATAACATTGGTTTTCTGGCGACTATTGTCAAATTTACAGCGTTAATTATTAACTTCTAATCAAAAAACAAATGAATCACAGGAAACTATGGGGGATAGGGAATTGCAAGGATTTAAGTTGGTAAATACTCTTACACTTCTCCAAAGCAGGGTATTATTTCGTTACGGTTAATTGTAATTTATTGTAGTTGATTAATTTTGCCTTTGTTTTATCTTACGTCCTGATTATCGCGTGTCTCCAGCGATGAAAAAACGGAAATGATGTTATCGACATAAACGATTCTGTCCTGTTTACACAATTCTACCTATGTAGTTAATAAAGTAACTTGGTAACCAGTTATATAGGTTTTAAAACTATTTTTTATTGATGTAATATAAACTATACGCTAAACAATCCTGTATTAATATTTTGGTAAAAAAATAAATGTTTAATTAAATATTGCAATAATTAAAAAGATTAAGGGCCTGTCCCACCGGTGGTAGATAGAGGCCCTGATAGTGTAAATATGACGTCACGTCAGATAAAATACAAAATTTCTGTCCCA